TGCTCAGCCTTTGAAGTTGGGCTGTACAGCCTAGGGTTTATGTAAAAGCGACGCGTGGTCTCGACGTTTGAGCCAATAATTACCCTGACATTGCGGATGGGTGCCACGTGGCGTAATGGAGGGTCAAGATTGGCGACCCTTGATATTCCTCAGAGTCTTATAAATACCCCTCTCCCCATCCCCATTTTGCACACTTCAATTCTCAAACTATCCTCGGACAACCTCGGGTTTAGGCTAAGGTAAGACCTCGTGCCCTGTAGATAATTTAAGTTCTTATTTTTCTGAAAATGTCTGGTAGCAATAGTTCGTCGGGGTCGGGCTCTACGCCCGAGGATGTTGGGCATTCCATGGTTCCTTTAGCAGTCCCTTTAGACTCTAGGCCTGTTCTGAATTATCCCGACCTTAGATGTCGATATAAAGAGCATGAGGTCATAGCCATAGCTAGGGAGTTCGGGCTTATGCCGACCTGTGATGTTAGGACTCCTGGGCCCGAGGACACCATACTTAGTGCTCGAGAGGGGGAGTTGGTGGTTTTCAAGGACTCGTTAAGGGCTGGACTTAGATGGCCTCTTCATCCTTTCTTTTTAGAGTTCCTGGTCGAGCATTTCATGTGTCCAGGACAGCTCGTCCCTAATGCGTGGAGAATGATCATGTACTTTTTCATAGCTTGTAGGTTTTTGTCCATAGTTCCTAGGCTCGACCTCCTTAGAATGGTGTTCGAGCTGAAGTCATTACCGGGGTATAACTGCTTTGTGTATGTGTCAACCCGAGGTAGGTTTAAAATTCCCAAAATGCCGAGCTCCTTGAAGGGGTGGAAGCAAAGATATTTTTTCATTTGTCCTCAGGACCCCGACCATCCTTTTGGTCCTCGGTGGACAATTCCTGACACTCCTCGATTTAACGAGGGGCAAGCCTATTTTGAAATTTTAGAAAGAGATAGGCAAAGTTTGGAAGATCTCGAGCCTCTATGCTTTGATCTCGATGATTTGCTCGGGGATGACATCCTCGACCTCGCGAATGTGAGAGGACTGGAGGGTAGGGTTTGACAATTTTGCTTTTAACTCGTCATTATTTCTCGAGCGCTCTTCGAGCTAATACCTTCGTTATTTTGCAGGAGACATGACTTTCGATCCTCAGGCTTTAAGACTGGCGGCGAGCCAGAAATCGAAGATTCCTCAACCTCGGGCTCCAGGTCAGAGGAAGGGCAAGAAAAGAGCTCGAGCAGAAACGCATGTGGTGCCAAGGGGACAAGGAGAGTCTTCTAGCCAGCATCCTCGGGTTTGTGTGACTGAGCTTCCGACAAACCCGACGTCCCGACCAGAACCTCTTGTTGTGGATCTCGAGGATGCTCCCTCAGAGCCCCAAGCTCGAGAACGTGATCGAGGAGAAAGTGTCATGCTCATTCCCGACGTGGTCGATAAATTTCGAGAGGGGGAACTCGAGGATGGCGTGAGGACAGTGCAGTCTCTGGCCTTGAAGGTATGTTTTCACTCAGCCTTTCTCGAGTGTAATGGTTGTGTGCCTTATATTTTTATGATGGCGTTGTGCAGTTGCTCAGTGTTGCTCGAGGGATGTCCTTGAAAGGCGA